CCCCTCCCAGGGGCCCCAGCCTCGGTGCCCCAGCGGGGCTCCCCTCACTGGGGAGAAGTGTCCAGGCTCCGGCGTTATTTACTGCTGCCGCTCACTCCTCCTTCCAGTAACTTGTCCTCTGACTCCGAGCGGCTTCTGATCAGGCAGCAGAGCTCTAATCTCTGAATCTCTCTCGCTTACCGGCATCAGGGCTCCTGCTTCCTGTTACTGAGCCTGGGCCGAGCACAGGGTCAGCAGTGTGCCGGCCGGGCCCTCGCCTGCGCCTGGGGCCTCTGCCCTGGCCCCTCGGGTGGGGAGGACAGAGGGTTCAGACGTGGGGCGTGGGCACGGCAGCCCGTCTGGGGTGGGTCCAGTGCCACAGACACTGACCTCCTGCCGGGTGTGGAGGACCCAGGGATGAGGGGCCCCACAGTCTGGGCCAAGGGCTCAGGGTCCGCCACCGTGGGAGACCAGCGCTCCTCCCGTCACCCCTCCGGCTTGGCAGAGTAAGCACGGAGGGTGCCCTTTCCCTCAGACCCTCCCCTGCCTCCCTCTCTCTCAATTCTGCAGCCACTGTGTGGGAAGGAAGGTTCTGGAAAGCAGACATGGACTGAATTCATATGGACAGGAGCTGGGGCTTCGGGGTCTGCTACCTTAGAGACTCCCTTGGCCCTTAGCCCCAGGGGGCCAGGACCGGAAAAGGCTTCTGTCGCACAATCCTGGGGCTCGCCCACCTTGTCCACCCTGGGCGGCCCCCCAGCTACCGTGAAGCAGGTGCAAGGGGACCAGGGCGTCGGCAAGAATGGCTGCCCGACCTCACGGGGCTGAGGCCAGGAACAGACGTCCGGCGGCCTGGGGACAGATCTTACCTCGTATAAGCAGTGTCCCCAGTGACGGCTCTGTGTGGTGGACACCTACTCTGTGCTCTCCACATGGATCGCGATCTGTTGTTCACGCCAGAGACGGGGTCTGAGCCCGGTTATCTGGCACTAAAGGGCACCCCTCTCCTGTGCCCTCATGTGCAGCGGTCTGTCTGGTAAGGAACACCTACCCTGCTGTTATCTTGTCACTACTTCTGTCCCCTGTGCCACAGACGAGTCTAGTTTCTCTCCCCCCAGCAGCCCTGCAGAGGATAAAAGATGGCTCTTGTCAGGGGCCACCCCGGGCACCCCGGTCCTGGCTCCCCCGCTGCTGACGGGATAGCTTCGGGAAGAAGGAAGGTTGGAAGGTGAGGCTGGGCCGGAGTAGCATCGGTGTCAGAGACCCCATCAACCTGGGGAGTCCAAGGGGGTCTCCCCCTGACTTTGATCTCCCAAGTGGGTTACACAGAATCATCCATGGAGGTGGGGAGCAGAATTCTATGCTTCAGATCTAAATTTCATCCTTTTATAATATCTATCTTTTGTGAATATTTTATAATGCAGGTAATAGATTCACATAGTCATAGACATTTGTAATCTATAAGTAACTATACGTATATAGTTATGAGCTCACATGGCATTAGGAGCTCAAAACATTTATTAGAAAGTGCATGATCCAAACAGTGTGACGTTCTGAAGGTCACTGTCTCTTAGGTTTTATAATATCTTATCTCGCGCACCCACCTGCTGAGCGCAAAGTCCACGATGGCAGGATGAAGGGAGGTCCACATTTGTAATCTATAAGTAACCATACGTATATAGTTATGAGCTCACATGGCATTAGGAGCTCAAAACATTTATTAGAAGGTGCGTGATCCAAACAGTGTGACGTTCTGAAGGTCACGGTCTCTTAGGTTTTATAATATCTTATCTCGCGCACCCACCTGCTGAGCCCAAAGTCCACGATGGCAGGATGAAGGGAGGTCCCATGTTCAAAGACACGGAGAGCTGGCTGCAGCGAAAAGTCTCGAGCTGGTTTGATGGGGGTGACAGGGGTGTCTGAGGAGCAGGCACTGTCACAGGCACAGTTGGGGCTTGGGCTTCTCTCTGGTGGCTCTCGGTCCCGTGGGGAGCAGAGGCAAGACCGAGTTCGCCCTGGCCCCCGGGGTGCAGAAGAGGCAGCCATGTTGGGCGCTTTGTGCAGGAACCGAGTCCCTTCTCAGGATGGAGGACAGCACGCAGAACTGGCACGTGCCACGGCGCACTCACTTCTCTCCCGCCGGGATCCCTGGGGGGAGCTTGAGATCAATTCCACAAACAAATACCCATCGCGCTCCCGCAGGGTGCAGGGCAGGGCCGGGCACAGCTTGCGCCATCGTGCATTCCTGGCCGGGTGGGCGGTTGACTGTCCCAGATGCCAGGGATCCCAAGTGTAAGGTGTGTTCCCAGAGTCACGGGCCAGCGGAGGCTGGTGCTCCCTGCGGGGATCAGCTGCCACTGAGGAAGGAAGATCCGGAAGAAAACACCAAGGTCTCGGTCCATCCGCCAGTCAGTGAACCCCTCCCGGGCACCCGTTAGGCTTGCCAGCCTGTGCGGGAGTGGCGTGCTTTGTGTCTTGCTGAGGACAGAGGGCTGATGATGGATGGCCAGGAGCTCGGCACACCTGGGACCAAGGTCCCCACTTTACAGGTGAGGAAACTGAGGTCCGGAAGTTAGAGGAACTTGCTGGTGATTAGTAGAGTCAGGGCTGGAACCCATGGCTAGGCAGGCTGGCCGTGAGTGCCACCCGTGTGTGTGTGCGTGCGTGTGTGTGTGTGTGTGTGTGTGTGTGTGTGTGTGTGTGTGTAGGGCTAGCCGGGGGCGGTGCCGGGAGCGCCTGGGGAAACCCCACCTGTCTCCCAGACTGCTCAGTTTGTCTCCTCTGTCAGCGGGACTTCCATGATCGCCGTCGACCCTCTGCCAAGGTGCACGCCCTTTTTCTCCTCATTTTCTCGAACCTGGCTTACCTCTGAGCAGCCCTCGTCACCGGTCACTTGCAGGTATCCCCCACTGGGCTTCTGGCTACTGGAGGGCAAGACCTGCATCTTTTGTTCTCTGGGTCCCTAGCACGAGCCTTGGAACCTGATGGGCATTGAGGAAGTACCCAAGGAGATGCGGGGGAGATGACAGAGTAGAGGGGTGTGACCAGCCCCCTCCCCAAGGTGAGAAACGAACCCAGAGAGGAACAGGATCTATGTCAGTAGGCAGGGAGTGGGGACAGGCCTCCGGGGACAGTTCCAGCAAGGGCATGGAGCATGGCGTGTGCAAGAGCCCTGGCTGACCAGGCACGTGGCCTGGTGGGACAGAGGACCTTGAAAGCCAGCCCCACGGATGGGATTCCATGCCGTTGACGATAGGGAGCCCTGGCAGGCCCCTGAGCAGGAGCCTGGCCGGCGAGGCTGTTCAGTGCCAGGGAGTCCTACGCTGACTCTCCTGCAGAGTGGGGCGAGGAAGGCTGCTCTACTCTGCCAGGCCTGTGGCCTGGCTCTCTCTGAACGTTCTCACCTGCGGCCCTCAAGTGGCACCTGGAAAAGGTGTCTGCCCGCAGGTGTTGGGGGGGACGAGGGCTGCCTGTCTTCTGCCAGAGCTCAGCGCCGACATTCCCCTGGGACCTGAGATGGGCCGTTGGTTCCTTCGTTCATCTATTCAGTAAGTGTTTATTGGGCACCAACTGGGTTCCAAGACCCAGCCTGGTATTGGAGTTGGGGGGCCCTTCCTAGGGCCTGGGCCTCTGGGGGTGCATGAGGGTCACCCCCATGGTGGGGCTAGTCTTCCCCACTCCACCCCTGGGATCAGAGCCTTTCTGCCACCCTCTCCCCGCCCACTCTGGGCTCAACAGGGGACCGTCCCCCTGGAGCTGGGGGCGGGGCTTGTTGGGGGAGGAGCGAGTGCGGTGGGGGCGGGCCTCCGCAGCCCCGCCCGGGCCCCACGCAGGCGGCTGTTCCCGGAATGGGGGTTTTAAACTTTTTTTTTTGTTGGCGAATATGCATGTGGTCTTAATTATTTATATGCAGCACTTATCTCCCCCAAATGTTTTATCGGGATTCGGCAGATCCGAGAGAGCGAGATGGATGCCCCGGGCGGCGCGGGGGCGGGGAGGGGCTGGAGGGGAGCAGTAAGGAGCCGGGCAAGCTGATTTAGGCGCCCCCTGAAATCGACTCGCGGGTGAGGGAGGGAAGGACCCTGATCCATGGCTGGTTTAACTCTTTCGGGCCCTGACAGGCGTTGAGGAACCACGGCGGTGTGGGAGGCCTGCGGGAGACTGCACCTGGGGCAGGTTTACTTAACCGCGTTGGGCTCCGGCCTCCGTGGATCCCGCCAGCCGGGGGCGCCACGCCGGAGGGCAGTCCCCCCGCTGCGTCCCTGGTGGACATAATGGCCACATCCCTCAGAAGCAATCCAAGAGGGCTTAAGAGGGGTCCCAGGTCTTTCCCAGTGGGGGTGTGGGGAGGCGAGACGCGCGTGACCCTGGAACCCCGCGCCTATTAACGTGCCCGGGCATTAGTGGTCTGCGCTCACCCACCCCTGGAGCCGTGGGTGGGCTTATCCTGCCCCTTTTACGGAGGAGGAAATGGAGGCTCAGAGGAATCACCAGTGTAAGGACTTCCAGCAGCGGGGGACTGGTGCGCACGTGGGCTCGGCAGGCGGTCTTTCCTGGAGCAGGGTGCGGGGTGGGGGGGGGCGCAGTGGGCCGAGCGTCCGCCCTCCCTCGGACCCCCAGCCCCAGGCCCTCCAGCTCATATGGCCTCTGTGTGCCCTCTCTTCCTGGCCGTTTGGGCAGCGCTGCTGGAGATTCCTGGAAGCGCCTCCCAGGCACACACACACCCTCACGCTCGCCCACCCCGCGCCTGCGGGATGTGCAAGGGCCTCCAAGGCCAATCCCGCCGCCCAGTGGGACCCCCAGGAACCTGAGCCTGAAGGGCCGGGCAGACCCTGAGCCCTCCCACCAGCGGTGCCCAGCGCGCCCCCGGCTGATCCCTTGGTCCGGCCCGCGGCACCCAGGAGACCCTTGCGGGCCTGGCACCGCATTTGCCGCGGGGCCCGGGGAAGCGGAGGGTCGGAATGAGAGGGGCTGGGTAGTGTGTGTGGGGGGGCGCCGCGACCTGGTGAGGCGCTGGGTGGGGTCAATGCCGGCGCTTGGAATTCCCTGGGGGCAGCGCGCGCGCGCGCGCGCGCGCGCGCGAGTGGTCATGGCTTGGAGGTGTACCCAGGAGCCTCCTGTGCCTAGGGGCTGCATCCCCGCCCCCACCCCGTCTCAGGAATTCCGGAGGCCCCGGTCCGCGTTTGCGCTGGGGATGGGGAGGCCTTCCTTGGACTTGCTGCTTTGGCCGAGTCCTCCGGGTTGGGGCCGGGCCATGTGATCTCTAGAGCCCCCCGGAACCCTGGACTCTCCAGTTGGGCTGGCCAGGGAGGAAAGTCTCATTCACGGCTTTCCCTGAATCTCGCCCCAGGCCCTGCGGCAGACGCTCTCTCCAGAGGCAAAGCTCTTTCAAGAGGGAGATCCCCAAGCTCCTGGCAGCCGCTTGGTAATTGGTTCATCGATTAACAGCTCGGGGATGGGGGGCGCTGCACTGGGGGGCGAGGCGAGGAGGCCGGGGCCTCGCCCTGGGGAGCCGTTTGCTGGAGGGAGGCAGGGAAGGCGGTAATTCCAGGTTGGGGAGGGTCTCTGTGCCTCCCCAAGACGGTGAGGACTCCGAGGAGGCAGCCTCGGGGCCTTCCGCGTGCCAAGCGCCAACCGGGCCCAACGGGCCCCTGGAAGAATCGGTTCCCACCAGCCAACCTGTTCCCATAGCCAGAAGTTGCCATGGTGACCCCTCCCACCTTCAGCTACAGCTTTTCCAGTAAAACCACTGCAGAAATCCATACTTCCCGACAGGCACGCCCCCGGCCCCCCACCCCCCACTCCGCGTGTCTGGGAGCAGCTGGGAGTTAACCCTCTGCTTGCCGGCAGATGCCGTTTGGGGGTCAGGAGAGGGAGAGCTGACAGTGCCGGCCTGGGCTGGAGCGAAGGTGGCCGGGGGACAGGTCCCAGAGAGCAGACTCCAGCAAGTTCAGGAAGTTGAAGGGAAACCAGCTCCCAACTTAAGGCCCCCACCTTGGAGGGGCCGTGGAGGGGCCGAGGGCCGCCCCTGGTGTAACCTGAGGGTTCTCACTGAGCTCCAGCTCTCCACGGGGGACCCTGCTGCAGTTGGTGGGGTGTCAGATGTACCCAGCCTATTCCTCCTATCTCTCCTCCCAGCTCAACTTCTTTCCTAGAGGAAGAAGGTTTAGCTCAGGTCCAGTGGCTTCACTGCCCAGCACCCCACCCCCAAGGGAGGCTGCATATACAGAGCCTGGCTCGAGTCCAGAAGTCAGCTCTCATGGGCTGTTGGACGGAAGTCACTGACCACTGGGGTCTCACTCATTCCCCTGAGAAGTGGGGATAACGACCTGGGCTGCTTGAAAGTTTGAGGAAGAGAGGGGGTTCTCCTGGGCCCCAGGGACAAGGGCTGCCTGGCCTCTGTCCTGGAGGAGCCCTGGGGACCCAAGGCTGTGTGGGGCCCAGGGGCTCAGTTCTGCAGCCCAGGCCCAGGCCCAGCCCCGCTTCCTTCTGCGTCCAGGGCGGTGAGGGAGGTGCTGATTGCTCTCTCTGCAGCCCAGGATGAATAATTGAGAGGTCTTTGAAGAGAATTAATTAGCCCGTTTATCGACTGTAAGTGCTTTGCTGCAGATGACGAAGTGAGGGCTGGGCTGCCGTGTGCCTGCCTGCTGGCCGGGGGGCTCGGGCGACAGCTAGATATTTAATTTGCACCCAGAGTTCCTTCTGCAGGACCAGGGCTCAGGCTTTGCATGGCGCCTTCCCCCGTCTCCCGAGAAGAGAGCTGGCGGCTGAGCCCCAACCTCCTGGCAAGATTCTGCCCCTCGGCCACAGCTCTGCTCCGTTTCTCTCTCAAGAGACAGGCGGAGACCCCTCATCCTCCCAAGGAGTGGGGACAGGGTGTGTCCCGCTGTCGGGTACACCTCCCCCAGCATGCCATACTTCTGTCCTGGGGCAGGCTCTGGGCAGGGTCCCTGGACCCTCATACTACCCTGGACCTGAAGCTGCTCGCTCTGGGCTCTGTGGGTCTCTCCATTCAGTCCAGCTCGCTTACTGTGCCGCCTGCTGTGGGGGCCTCTTCCTCTGCTTCCCTTTAGCTGTAGCAAGGGGAGGCACCCAGAGAAGCGGGGGGCATGGAGGACAGGCGGGTAGGTGTGTGCCTCTGTTTCCCCAGCCCGCAGCCCTCTCCATCCACTCAGCTCTCGTTCTTGAGCTGCTGTCAGCATGGCCGTTGATTTTTCTCAAGCATCTGCTTTGTGCCGGGGACTTTAGCCCTATGAGGCGGAGTTGTCGCGCAGCCGGCTTTCAGGGCACCGCTGACTGAGACAACTACCTGACTCAGCGAGGCGGTCGAGGCCGAGCTGAGGCTCGAATCCCACCTGCCAGACTCCACGTTGCAGGGACGCCTTTGGCTTCCCCTGCCTCCTCCTCCCCGTCGCCTCGAGGAATTGCTCCTCCCTGCCCTTGGCGTGGTGACGGTGAGGGACACCTCATCTAAGGTCTTCTGCAGCTGAGGAACAGAGGCTGGTCTCCCTCGAGGTGGCCGAAGCTGGGCACATAGGACCTGGAAGGGTTGGCAGTCACGTGCAAAGCATGGGTGGGGGTGGGGGAGAGGGGGAGCCTGAAGCCCTCTGTGTGTAGGGGGGGGGTGGGAGGAAGGAAGGGCAGAGCTGCGAACCCAAGCCTGCCTTCATCCCCTCCCTGCATTCCCACAGGTGGTAGACATTTGTCCCTGTATCAGTCAGCTATTGCCATGATAGGTCACGTAACAAACAGAACCCACAATCTCGGTGGCATTTGACAGTAAGCATTTACTTTGCTCTCATCTCTGGGCTTGCTGGGGTCCAGCAGAACCAGGCTGGGATTAGCTGGGCCTGCACCACACGTGTCTTATCCTCCCGAACCCGCAGGTGCCCGAGGTGTGTTCTTCCCAGGGCCGTTCCAGCAGCGCAAGGAGCAAGTCTGTCCCGGAAGCGCATGTCGAGTCTCTACTCGCGGCTCATCACTGACGTCCCATTGGTCAAAGCCAGTCACGTGGTGCTGTGGTCTGAATGTTTGTGTTTCCCACAAATTCCTATGTCGAAATCCTCACCCTCAAAGAAGGTGGTGACGAGAGGCGGGGCCTTCGGGAGGCGAGCAGGTCGTGAAGGTGCAGAGCAGCTCGTGAGGGTGCAGTCCTTGCAACGCCCTTATAAAAGACACCCCGAGGGGCTCCCCAGCCCCCTCCGCCACCACGGGAGCACTCCAAGGAGGTGTCGCTGTGACCCAGAAAGAGGGTTCTCACCAGACCCTGACCATGCCGGCACCTCGATCTTGGACTTCCAGCCTCCAAAACTGTAGGAATAAATTTCCGTTGTCTGCAAGCCACCCAGACTGTGGTATTCTGTTATAGGAGCCCAGACGGCTGTGGCCAGAGCCGTCTGTAAAAATTCTATTAGTAGGGAAGCAGGATTGATAACTCGATTTCTCCATTTTTTATCTTTAATTTTCATTGTGAAAATAGTTTAAAAACAAACAAAAAATGTCGGCAGATAGCATAACGAAGCCCCCTAGGACGTCACCCAGATTCTGTAATTATTAATCTTACTGTATTTGTTGAATCCGTCATTTTTTTCTTGTTAAGGTTGTTCTTGACTTTTGAAAAATTGAGGTAAAATATATGTAAGATAAAATTTACCGGATTAGCCATGTTTAAGGGCACGGTGCAGTGGCATCAAGTACATTCACATTGTTGTGCAGCCGTCACCACCACCATCTCCAGGACATTCTCGTCTTCCCAGACTGCCACTCTGTCCCCACCGAACACTCTGCACCCCCCTCCCCTGGGCCCTGGCGAACTCCGTTCTACTTTCTGTCTCTGAGAATGATTTTGACCTCGCGTAAGAGAAACCGTACAGTGGCGCCCTTTGGTGACTGGCTTACTTCACTTAGCATGATGTTTTCGAGGTCCGTCCATGCTACAGTGTGTGTCAGGGGATCCTTCCTTTTTCAAGGCTGAATAATATTCCATTGTCTGGAAAAGACCACATGTCGGTTATCCGTTCATGTCGATGGACATGTGGGATGCTCCTACCTCCCGACTCTTGGGATGCTGCTGCTGGGAACGCAGACGTACAAATATCTGCCAAAACCCTGCCTGCAGTTCTTCTGGGTCTGTGCCCCGGAGTAATTCTACGATTAGCTTTTGGGGACCTACTGTGCCATGTTCCACGGTGGCCGCACCATCTCACATGCCCACCGGCAGCCCCAGTTTCTCCACATCCTCCCAACACTTGCCACGTTTTGTTTTTCACCTTTTCTTTCTTTCTTTTTTTTTTTTTTGTATAATAGCCATCTTAATGGGTGTAAAGCGGTTTGGATTTGCATGGGAGTCTTTTGACTTCAGCTGGTCTGGTTCTTGTAACCGGTACTAGTTAGGGTGGGTTGAGCGGCTGTAAACAGAGACCACGGTGGTGGTGGTGGTTTGTGGAGGTGTCTGCTTCCCTTTCTCAAGACTTCCCTGGTGGGAGCTGACCGTCAGGAAAAGTGCTCCTCGGTTCAGAGCCCAGGTACGGGTCACGCTGTCATCTCAGGATGGAGCTTCTGAGGTCGTTCTGCTTGTGGCCACCTCAGACAGTAGGCAGGAGTTCGAGCTCACGTGCAGAGCCATCACGGGGCCGCCCCTGCTGCAGGAGGGGCTGCGAGTGGTCCCTGGCCAGATAGGAGGAGAGGATGGATTTTGAGACAGTTCCGAGTGCTGGACACGCTGCGCCCCTTGCGTTAATCCGCTCCCTCCTGCTGCACAATCTCAGGACACACCGGGAACAGTGAGGCTCCCACAGTAAGGTCGAGGATGCTGGGGGGACCCATGGCCACGGCTGCCAACGTGACGAGAGTGGACACTTGGTGGAAGGAGCCCGTAGTAATGTGCCTGGAGGGAAGCCCCGAAGAGGCCGCCACGGGCCCCCCAGTGAATGGTGGCCCCCAAAAAGATGAATCTACATACTAAACCCCAGAACCTGTGAAGGGGCCTTATTTGGAGACAGAGTCTTTGCAGACGTAATTAGATTAAGGATCTCCAGATGAGATCCTCCTGGATTATCTGGGTGGGCCCTAAATCCGATGACTGGTGTCCTTATGAGATAAGGGCAGAGGGACATATGAGACCCAGAGCCGGAGGAGAAGGCCGTGTGAGGCTGGACACAGAATGGAGTGACCACAAGCCAAGGAATGCTTGGGACCCAAGAAGCTGGAAGAGGCGAGGAAGTGTTCGCCCGTGAAGCCATCGGAGGGACTGCAGCCCTGCTGACAGCCCGATTTCAGACTTTTGGCTTCGGAGCCAAGAAAGAACAAATTTCGATTGTTGTAAGCCACCCGGTTTGTGGCAGTTTGTTACAGGAGCTACAGGAAACTCAGACACAGAGACACCTGCACCACCGACCAGTCCCGTCTGCCCTGATGCTTATGCACCAGGAGATGCCGCAGGTCTTGGGTCCGGCAGCAACAAGAGCCCAGTAGATTCGGCCCATAGTGCCGGGCTCAACCATAGGTCCTCTCCTTCTGTCCTTGGGGGACCCTGCTCTCGGCGCTGGGCCCCAGCCCTCCCCGGCTCGGTCGGATGCCCTGCACGAGCTGCCCCACCAGCTTCCTGGGTAGGGCAGGCATTACCAAGTTGCTGCCAGGGAAGTTCTGCCCTCTCCCTCGGCCCAAGATTCGGAGAGTTAGTATGGGGAGGGGGACCCCAAGAGCTGGACAGAGGTGGGGTGCAGGGGAGGCTGGAGGGAGGAGAGGCCCTGAGACCCATTCCTTCTCTCCGGGATGAGTCATTTAGAGGCCGGTGGCATCTTAGAAAGGGGAGCTTATTTCCCAAAGGGCCATCGTGGCATCTAAAGATATGGGCTCCTTCCCCTGGGGGGATGCCACCAAACCCAGCGGTCGCCAGGGGGCTGGTTGTGGGCTCAGCCGGATTTCAGTGAAACCCTTGCTCCTCGGCCCGGCCCTGGGGACATCACTGAACCTCTCCGTGGAATGTGTTTGCTGCGTACATCTCATGGCCGGAGGTGACAGCCAGGGGCTGGGCGCTCGGAGACTTCAAGCCTGTGCCTCCCACCTGCTCAGCGGCCGCGGTCCCACTCGCCCTTCACCAGGGGTCTCCTCTGTTCCCTACGTGGCCCGTAAGCTGGGCGTCAGCACCCTGTCCTGGAGGGGCAGAGCCAGCTGGGCATGGATGCCCACCCTGCCCACCCCAGGGCCACGGGTCCACAGGAGACCACCTGCAGCAGGAGCTAGACTGGGGCCGCCGGCACAGCTGGGCCTGTGGGAGGGGCAGAGGGGCCTCTAGGGAAGGGACTTACCAGCAGACAGCTCTGCTGAGACCCAGGGAGGCCCTCCTTGATGACGGGAAGGACAGAATGTGGGGTGGGGTGGCTGCTTCTGCCTGCCCTTGGCCCGGGGCCCAGCACCTCCCCTCCACCATCTCCCATCTGCCGCCCCATCCGCACCCCCGCCCCCACCCCGTGCTCCTCTCCTCCCTGCAGCCCCCCACCCCGCAGTCTATTCCTGACTAAGCCCCTCCCTGGAGGCTGAGAGCCGGGGCTGACTCTCCCCCAGACAGGTACGGCAAGGCCATTCTCCGTGACAGCTGGGAGGACAGGCAGGGGCCAGGGGGCGCTCCCGCCCTCGTTGGATCAGCCAGCTAAGGGATCAGTGGACACCCGGTGACCCCTTCTCCAACCTGGCCACCAGCCCAGACCCCTCCCCATCCAGGCCTGCCGTGAACGCTGCCAACGTGCTGGGATGGGCAGTGCCTCAGCCCCAGGGCCGGTCAGGCACGGCTGGGAACGGGCAGCGGGCCGGGTCTTCTTCAGAGCGCTCTGCGACCTTGCTCTGAGGGACCCAGCAGGGAGACACGCTGATGGTGCAGAGTGGAGCCTGAGCTGTCACTCCCTCTTCTGCCCCTGCCCCCCATCTCTGCTCTCCTGGGATCTGGGGCTCACCCTGGGGGGTGGGTGGGACTTGCCCCTGCTCGGCCGCAGTCGCTCAGGTGCAGTTGCCAGGCCTGGTCTGGGGCAGGGAGGCCTTCGGGCCGGTTCCCAGGGCCTCAGGGCGGCCCCTCCTTTTCCAGAAAGAGGAAAGAAGTGCAGCATCGGGGAGCTGGGAGCCTGCACCCCGGCCTGCCTGTGGCCAGAAGCTCCACCCTGTGACCTGTGACCCGGCCGACCAGCTGGGGCGGGGGGGCTGGTGACGGTCCCCAAATAGACCCCCCACACTTGTCCTCTGTGCTTCAGGGTCCAGTCCCCTCCGTGTCCACCTTCCTAGGCTCGGTGTAGCCAGAGGGAGGGGCCCGACTCTCCCAGGTCTCCAAGGCCTACTTCTGCCCTCTGGCTGGCATGGCTGGCCTTGCCCAGTCCTGGGAGCAGGCTGCACAGGCCCCACCTGCCCCTGCCTAGGGATGCAGAAGACCCCAAGCTCCAGCAGGGAGGAAGAGAAGGCTGGTCTTTAAACTCCCACTGGGGGTGGCGGTTATGTAGAGCGCCCATCCAGGCACCCCCAATCCTGCAGCTGCTGGCCTACCGTCACCTTCACCACAGCAGCAGCACAGGAATGAAGCAGGGTCCCCTGCCAGGCCCTAAGGCTGTGAGGAAGAAGGTCCGATGGAGGCTGTTGGAGGATTTAATCCCAATAGGGAGACAAGAAATAGGCAGAAGGGGGCACACCACCCGCAGACGAGCGGGTTAGTAAGTGGTGCTCCCCCAGAATAAAGAATGAGCACCGATACGCATGACGTCAGAGGTCGCCACCGTAAAGCAAGCTGCTTCTTCATCCGTTCATTTATTCGGCGACTTCGCTCCGCACCGATCACGAGCCATGTGCTGTTCCAGGGGCTGGGGATGGCACAGCAGGCAAAGACACAGGGTGGTCAGGGCAGACTGCTTGTGAAGGTGACTGAGCCAGACCTGTGACTGAGTCAGGCCTTGAAGGCGGTGAGGACTGAGTCACCTGGGGGTCTGCTGGAGCCATAACCCACACTGGGCTGGGCCTGTATTCCAGGCAATGCAAGGAGGCTGGAGGCTCCGGGCAAGAAGGCGGAGGCAGGCGGGAGGGCCTCGTAGGCACCCTGTGCTGGGAGTTGGCCTGGGAGGTCACCCAGAAGCCACGGGGAGGTCCTGGGGGGAGTGAGGAGACCACTGAGTGGAGGCAGTGGTCCCCTGGTCCCTGAGTTGGAGATGCGGGTCTCTGCCAGGTGTGCCAGGAAGTGGTTGGCTTCTAGGTATATTTTGGGAATACTATTATATTTCCGCCTTATTCGCACTATGGAAAAACAAAAAGCAGAAACACAGACCTGTGGGTCCAGGGACAAGGGTGTCTGTAGAAGCAGAGGAGCCTGGGGATACTCCCAAAATGGGAGGAAAGAGGGCATCTTCATGGGGCTCCAGAGACGTGGGGTCTCATTCAGTGCGACTGTCCCTGCGCTGCTGGTGTCCACCCATGGTCACCACCAAACTAAGCAAACGAAATCTCAGTGGGACCAGGACAGGGAAGACGGTTGTTTATGTGAACAGTCACTCATCTGTGGAGCCCCCTTGGGGTGGAGCCTATTTGGGGGTCCCTAAGGTTCACCCCTCCTAGCTTCCTCCTATTGGAAGGGGGAGGGGCAAAGCTGCCTGTCTCTGAAGGTGAATATTTTGCAGACCCTG